GGATGGAGCTCAGAGATAAAGTATTTGCCAAGCATGTATGAAGCCCTGGGTTAATTGCCACCACTGGAAAATAAGCTTTCAGAGCCGGGCGTGGTGGCTTACACTTGTCATCCCAGCACTTGGGAGGCTGAGGCAGGAGGATTGCTTTCAAGTTTGAAGCCAGCCTGGGCTACAAAGTGAGTTCAAGGCAGCGTGAACTACATAGTGAGACCCCGTCTAAAAAGGACAAAAAGGATAAAAAATAAATAAATAAAAATTAAAAACCATTTCAGGTAGAACAGGATGAGTTTGTGACCTCTGCTCTAGAGTCTCCTTAGGAAACCCGGTTACCGAGAAGCCAGTGCACACCTGGCTCTGGACTGTGAGAGGCTGCACCAAGATGGCAAGCAGCGGTGCGCCAGCAGTAATCCCCAACAGCAGAGGTGGAGTGCTGGGAAGAGCGGCTGCTGTGAGGAATGCGCAGCTCAGTGAGCAGGGGAGAGGAGCTCGCGGGAACTCCATTCTCACCAGTAGGAGCCACTCAGACACTGGTGCTAACAGCGAATGACAAGTTCTATTAGAAAAGATGTTCAGGAAACGGGTGCGGAGCTGCTGACCTGGGGTTCTTTCCTTCCTGGCCAGGCAGTGAGTACCTTTAAAGATTTATCACTCTGAAATTAGACCCACTAGAAGAGAAGAGGTAATAAAGAAAGTATCAGGGCACCCTTCCAAGAAAACCCTCTCCTTTGAGGAGGACCCAAAATAAGATTTTAAGCTCTGGTGGCAGGAAATTAAATTAGTTCATCTTCCTGAGATAATTCGTCAATAATATATGACACATGTTCCGTCTAGCAGGGTGAATTCAGAAAAGAAATGTGCCCTGTGTCAGGGTTAAGAGATTTGATTAAGAGGCTCATGCCTTAGAAATTCATTCCTTTTTAAGATTTTTAAGGTTAATGTAGGTAATTAGCATTCCTTTGTTATTTTATCATCTTGGAGAGCTCAAAATATATACAGAGCTATAATTTAGACCAGCTGGCTGCAGGCTTTTGATATAAACAGGCTTCGGGCCAACTTTGCCTCCTCAGAGCTAGGTAACGTCCAGCAGTCAGTGCTCTCCCTGCCTTTGTGTTCTCTTACCCTCTCAGGTGTAGAATCTGGTCTGGCTTCCCGTGCACCACATATGGAGCCCTCCCAGAGGAGGCTCAGGGGGCTTGGATTCTCACTCTGCACCCAGCCCAGCTAGAGCAGCCTCTGTTGGAATGGATGAAGGAAGACAGGCCCAGAAATTGGATGTAGTCATAGCTTTCACAGCCGTTTCCCTAGAAATGAAAAGGAAACACTTTACACTAGCCATTTTAATGTCTGGTGCTTTCTTTCAATCTGACAAAATTCTAATAGCATTCGAGGGTAATGAATGAATGGGAGGGCTGCCTAATGGTTAGTTTTCTTTAAATGGCTTGAGATTTAGTTCTAGCAGGTATTTAGACGTCAATTCAGTTTTATTTTTGGAATGATGACAATAGAAAATATTATTCTAATGATATTTACATTTTAAAAACAAAACAAAACAGGGTCTCGCTATAGTTCAGGTAACCTGGAACTCTGTAGCTCAGGCTGGCCTTGAACTCACAGACCTCCTGTCTCAGCATCCTGAGTGCTGGGATTATAGGCATTAGCCACTACACCTCGCTCTCTAGTGATGTTTAATGAGTAAAATTAGAGTTTATCTGTGTAATTTCTGGGATGAAATGACCTCGACAGGAATTCCGGATGAATCTCATCTCATCCCTTCCCTTCCCTTCCCTTCCCTCCCCTCCCCTTCCCTCCCCTCCCCTCCCCTTCCCTCCCCTCCCCTCCCCCTCCCCCTCCCCTCCCCTCACTATTTTTGCCCTGCTTGGGGATTGAACCCATTGTCTCATGCATGCTAAGCAAGCAGTGTACCACTGAGTTCCATTCCTGGTCCTGTATTATTTTAGTCCATCTTTATATTAGTTTACAAAGTCTTTCCACCTTGTAAGTACCTTTTAATCTCACAGTCATCAAGAAGGGGGAAAAAAGAATTGATAGAAAATGAGTTCACATAGGGTAGAAGTCTTCTGGTTCTTCATTGTAGACAATATTTTATTACATGTAACAACTAGAAGTATGGAAAGTAACTTTCCGTGTCTCCACCTGCTTAACAACAGAGCAATCTTAGAAAGATCAAAGGGGGAACATGTTGACTTTGTCTATTTATTAACCTGAAGCATATATGCCCAAAATGGCCCATCATTATTTTCCATTCTCCCACCCTTTTCTTGGCAGGGAATGAGTCATTTTTACAAATAAAAAGCATACTGTTTCACTGATCCAAATAGCTATTACAATTACAAATGCATGTATCCTTTGATTCAGAATTGCACTTCTAGGAATTTTTCCCTGTAGATAAACTTTCCCACACACGAAATGATGATGTATCCTAGAAACAGCAGAAATGCATCTGTAGTGCAGGAGTTCATTAATGATGTATCCATACAGTCCATATCATCTTGCTATCTGGAAGAATAAGGTAGCTCTGTACTTTCTGAAGGAACAACTTTTAGGACAGGTTGTTGAGATAAGGCAAGATGCAGGACACTGTGTTATTCTGTATAGCATGCTTTTTTTTTTTTTTTTAAAGAAAGGTAAGTCGAGATGAATACATACTTGCATGTGCATCAAATGTCTCAGGAAAATTTTAAATCTAATAACAGTTGCCTGTAGGCAGGGGAACTGGGTGGCTGGAGAACAGATGAGGGGGCAGCACCTGTCTCCAAAAGGGCCTTTTAGTCCAGAATCATGGCTGTTGTCTGTTTTTAAATATTCTCTGCACTGAGGTCGTCAGGACCTTGACGTCCTTGAGTATTCATTTGCCCTCCCCTCCCAAAGGAAACAGTCAATCATCCTTTCTTCTGTACCACATTTTCTAGAACACAATGAAGATTTTCTTTCTTGTCTTTACTTTAAAAATTGTTATCTCTTTTCATTCAAATTCTGTTAAATTGTTGTCTCCTCTGTGTACTGCATTATATCACATTCTCATCTTCATTTACTTAAATACTTTTTGCACAGCCAGTTTTTGTTGATGCTGTTGAAACTGAAAATTATTATCAATATGAGATAGGAAATTCAAACAGTATAAGTGCAGACACAGTGAAAAAAATGTTTCTAGATCTCCGAGTCCCTTAGGCCTGTAGTTCCCCAGGTGGGGCTGTCACTACTATAACTTTTACATGTGTACTTCTAGTAATACTGCATGTACATTAAGCATGTAACATGTCTATATCCCCCTTTTTGTACCTTTAATTTTTTTAGGAAACTTGATTTTCAGAGGAGTTTTAGGTTCTCAGCAAAATGGAGCAGAAGATATAGGTATTTCCACATACTCCTTGCCCTACTCTTGTATAGCTTCCCCCATCATCAGTATCTCCACCAGAATGGTGTAATTTAGCAACTTCGCAAGAGCCTGGCTCAAAAAATTTAAAAAAAGTGCTGGGCCTGTAGCTTATTGCAAAGATCTTGGGTTCAATCCTCACTCCCGTCAAAAAAACCTCAGAGAGCCCCAAAACAAAAATAATTATGCAGGATATCACTGTATATATATCAAGTGTATTTCATTCAGTCAGCCCCTTTTAGCTGGGTCTAGTTGCGCACAACTATGATTCCCATACTCATGGTGGGAGAGGTCGGAAGATCACAGGTTCAAACCTGCCCTGAGCAACTCAGCAACTTATCAAAACCCTGCTTCAAAAAATAAAAGAAGTAGGGATGTAGCTTAGTGTAAAGGTGCTGTATTTAATTTCCAATATTGAAGAAGATCAAAACAAAACAAAACCTTCAGTCCTTTTTTTTTTTTTAACAGAAATAGCAGTTGTCCAAGGTCTATAGCTACCACAAACAATGCCATAACCAATATCCTAGTACAGTATCCTTTGTATGAGCCATGTATCTGTAGGATACATTTTTAAGAAATTGCTAGATCAAGCCAGGCGTGGTGGCTCACACCTGTAATCCCAGCACTCAGGAGGCTGAGGTGGGAGGATCCTTGCGAGTTTGAGACCAGCCTGGGCTACAAAGTGAACTGCATAGCGAGACCCCATCTCAAAAAAAAAAAAAAAAAAAAAAAAGAAATTGCTAGATCAAAAGATAATGAGCATTTTATTTTTTTGATACTGAGAATTGAACCCATGACCTTACATATGCCAGGTATATGCTCTAACTCTGAGCTGCATCTCCAGCTCTTTTTAATTTTAATATTTGTGTGTGTGTGTGTGTGTGTGTGTGTGTGTGTGTGTGTGTGTGTGTGTATGTGTGTGTGTGTGTGTCTGGGATTGAGCCTAGGAGTACTGTACCACTGAGCTTCATCCTCAGCCCTTAATATTTATTAATTGTTTTTTGTTTTTTTGAAACAAGGACTTGCTACACGGTTCATACTGGTCCTGAACTCACTATGTAGCCCAGGTTGGCCTTTAACTCACAGCAAATCCTCCTGCCTCAGCCTCCCAAGTGTTGGGATTACAGGCATGTGCCACCACCCCTAGCCTTGTTTTGTTTTTTGAAATGGAGTCTTGAAATGTAATGCAGGCTGGCATTAAACTTGTGATTCTTCTGCTTCAGCTTCCCAGGTATCTGAGGTTATAAGCAAACACCAACATACCTAGCTTTAAACTGTAATAGATATTTCATAATGCTGTCCTCAGAGGTTTAGTAGTTCAACAAGGTACAGGATCAGCAGGGGTTTTAAAAGGTTTTAGGCTGCTTCTGCTTTAGTATAAGATCAGGTATTGATTTAGGAGAGGTCAAGTAAGTGAATATTAGAGGGCGGGAGACCATTTACAGTGAAGCTGGTTAGGATCCCATGAGGCAACACACTGTGTAGTGAAGTATTAAATATGACTGTCAGAGGTCAGCCAGATGAAGATGACGTGTGTATCATCAGCTGCCACTGAAGCGGCCCCTGCTAACTTCTGTGCTTACTTACTTTTACTTTTTTTCCCTAGGACCTTAGCATCCTGAGCCATTTTATTGCCTTCAAGACTGACCTGGTCAGAGGTCATCATGCTGAAGTTAAAAAGCTCGGAGTCGGTCCGGGTGGTGGTTCGCTGTCGGCCCATGAATAGCAAGGAAAAGGCTGCTTCCTATGACAAGGTGGTGGATGTGGACGTGAAGCTGGGCCAGGTATCTGTGAAGAACCCCAAAGGTACAGCCCATGAAATGCCCAAGACCTTCACCTTTGATGCAGTCTACGACTGGAACGCCAAGCAGTTTGAGCTCTACGATGAGACGTTCCGACCACTCGTAGACTCTGTGCTGCAAGGTTTCAATGGGACAATTTTTGCCTATGGACAAACTGGGACTGGGAAAACCTACACGATGGAAGGGGTCCGTGGGGACCCTGAAAAAAGAGGAGTCATCCCCAACTCATTTGACCACATTTTCACCCACATCTCTCGATCCCAAAATCAGCAGTATCTGGTCAGGGCTTCTTACTTAGAGATCTACCAGGAGGAGATCCGAGACCTGCTCTCAAAGGACCAGACCAAAAGGCTTGAACTTAAAGAGAGGCCCGACACTGGGTTGTATGTAAAAGACCTGTCCTCTTTTGTCACCAAGAGTGTGAAGGAGATAGAGCACGTGATGAATGTAGGCAACCAGAACCGCTCAGTTGGTGCCACCAACATGAATGAGCACAGCTCCCGTTCTCATGCAATCTTCGTCATCACCATCGAGTGCAGCGAGGTGGGCCTCGACGGTGAGAACCACATCCGCGTAGGGAAACTGAACCTTGTAGATCTGGCTGGCAGTGAACGGCAAGCCAAGACCGGTGCACAGGGAGAAAGACTGAAGGAAGCAACCAAGATCAACCTCTCCCTTTCAGCCTTGGGGAATGTCATCTCTGCCCTCGTGGACGGCAAGAGCACGCACATTCCGTATCGAGACTCAAAACTTACAAGGCTCCTCCAAGATTCCCTTGGTGGCAATGCCAAGACTGTGATGGTGGCCAATGTAGGGCCTGCCTCTTACAATGTAGAGGAGACTCTGACCACCCTAAGATACGCTAACCGTGCCAAAAACATTAAGAACAAGCCAAGGGTCAATGAGGACCCAAAAGATGCCCTCCTTCGAGAATTCCAGGAAGAAATTGCTCGGCTTAAAGCCCAGCTAGAAAAACGGTCCATTGGCAGAAGGAAGAGGCGAGAGAAGCGGAGGGAAGGTGGTGGCAGTGGCGGGGGTGGGGAAGAGGAGGAGGAGGAGGGAGAAGAGGGTGAGGAGGAAGGGGATGATAAGGATGATTACTGGCGGGAACAGCAAGAAAAACTGGAGATTGAGAAGCGGGCCATTGTGGAGGACCACAGTTTGGTTGCAGAGGAGAAGATGAGGTTGTTGAAGGAGAAGGAGAGAAAGATGGAGGACCTGCGGCGAGAGAAGGATGCTGCTGAGATGCTGGGTGCCAAAATCAAGGTACCTTCCCCTTCCTTGCTTGGAGCCTTTTCCCCTCCTTTCCCCTCCCCTCACCTTCTGTCATCCAGTATTGGGGCTTAAACCTGGAGCCTTTGTACTGAGCCATAACCCCAACCTTTTTTAAAATTTTTTGAGACAGGGTCTCACTAAGTTGTTAGGTTGCCCAAGCTGGGCTCAAATTTGTGATCCTTCTGCCTAAGCCTCCTAGAGTGCTTAGATTACAGGGCTATATACCTCTATGCCAGGCTAGTGCTTGCTTTTTCTTTCTTTCTTTCTTTCTTTCTTTCTTTCTTTCTTTCTGTCTGTCTGTCTGTCTGTCTGTCTGTCTTTTTGAGACAGGGTTTTGCTATACAGTTTAGGCTAACTTTGGGCTCGCTTTGTAGCCCAGGCTGGTCTTGAACCAGCAACTTGCAGCAATCCTCAACCTCCCGAGTGCTGAGATTACAGGAGTGTGCCACCATACCCATGCTAGTGTCTTTTCTTTTATCATAAAGTTATATGAGGGCTGCTATTTCTTTCGGTTTTACACTTCTAGCTCTTATGATACCTAATGCTCAGTAAACCTTTATTTAAGTGAATCAAAATGAAGAAAGGTTTTTAAATGGAAAAAATAAAACTTGAATTCATAGTAATTATTACATATGCGCAAAATATGAATAGCAGAAAAAAAACAAAACAAATGTCCATGTGTCCCTCTCTTCCTCATAGGAAATAGAAGCTGAATTTGGTGTTTATTGTTTCCTTTAAAACTCTACCATGTATGTATATCTCTAAGTAAAATAGTTCCACATGCTTTTTAGTTTTTATGTAAGTATGCTCCATGCAGTTTATTTTTATTTGTCTAACATTCTGTTCGTGTAATTAATCCAGACTGATGCTGTAGCTAGGACTTGTTCATTATTCTGTGGCTTGTCCCTCTCCTAGTAGTGTGAGGTTGTTTCTCTTTTCTGCTATGATTGTTCTTGTCCTTGGTTCCAGGAGAATATGTGAATATATGTGTGCAAGACTTCCTTGTCTGCTACAGTGAGAGTCCAGAATACGCACCTTTCCTTTTTTTCCTATATAAAGACAAACTTTTCTTGGGTGTTTTTGTTTTTGTGTTTTGTTTTGAGACAGAGTCTTGCTATGTAGTCCAGCCTGGTCTTGAACTTGGCTGTACAGCCCAGGCTGGCCTTGACCCACCTGTCCCAGCACTATAATCGTTAGTGCTAGGATTGCTTCTTGGTTGTTTTTGTTTTCTGGTGGGGCTGGTAGTGAAACCTAGGGGTTTGCCTGTGCTAGGTAGACAGTCTGTGTTCTGAAGTGGCATGTGAACTGAAGCCTCTCTGAGCAGAGTGAATTCTGGTTGCTTCTCATGTTTATCAACCCTTGAGATTATCAGATGAACTTCTGTATATCTGGTGAGCATACAGTGGTATCTCAGTGTGGTTTTAGTCTGCAGTACCCTGGTTACACAAGACACAGAATAGTTCCCTCAGCCCAAAACTGTCCTCATGCATCCCCTGTGGTCAGCCTGTGGCCCTACCCTCCAGTCCGTGCACTGATGTACCCCCTGACCCAATCTCCATCTGCCCCATTGGCTGAGCAGTATTCTGGAGTGTGGAGGCCCCCGTTTCTACATCATCTCCTTGGCAGCAGTGTCCTGTTCCCTTGGGTGCCTTGACTCTGACTGTCACCAGGTTTTAATGACAGAAGCGGAGAGTGCAGAGGTGGCCCTGGAGGCCTGAAGATTGCCACTGGCTAACCAACCATAAGCAGAATTCCTTTGAAGTGTTGGATTCTTTCTTACTGAATTTATGCAAACTGGTTTCTACCCTAAAATAATCCGTGATTATTAGTTGAAAAATGACAAGTCTTTCTCACCTCACTTCCCTTGCTCTGTGAAGGTGCACTGTTTTATCTGTGGCTTCCTAGCAGCCCTTTCACAGTGCTGGGCCCTGTTTCCGGGTCTTAAAATCTTAAAGGTCAGTTCAAAGGCTTTGAAGAGCCCATGTGAAGATATAGTTATAAACAACACAATTAGAGGCAAGGTTGTTCTAGGGAGGAACTTACCATGGAATCCTTTATGGCAAATGCCGCCTCCTCTCCTCACCCTGCACTGGAGTGTAACTGGGTATGCCCAAGTTGGTTTGCATACCGTTTCTTAGGATCACGTTTGTTATTCAAGGCCAGGTACACTAGACTGTCTAAATGACCCGGGGCGTTTGGGGAACTCTGAGGCCCATTGTGGCAAGATTCAGCAAAGTCTCCAAATCTTTTGCGTGTTTTCATCTATGAGAGAATGACATTACCTCTGTCTTGCTCAATCCATGGATGCTGTCAAATAATAGAACCAAGAAAACTGTAGGCTAGAGCTTGTGTGGGGATTAGGGTAATGTAGTCTAGTCCTTTTGTTTTGAGAAAAGAGGAAACAGGTTCAAAGGGTGGACTGAAAGGTGGCAGCAGGACTTGTTAGCCTTCCGTTTGTTTGATTGGGTTTTTTTGAGACAGAGTTTCACTGTGTAACCCCGTCTGTCCTCAAACTTGTGACAGTCCTTCTGCCTCAGCCTCCTGAGTGCAGTGTACTACTCTGCCCAACTCAGTTAATGTTTCTTAATTTTTAAAAAAAAATTTAAAGGGCAGAATATATTTTTGAGAGAAGAGTTTCTGTCCTAGAATGTTTCTTAATTTATACAGGCAGGGTCTTCTCAGCATTCTGGGAGGTTGAGGATCACAAGTTCAAGCCTAAGACGAGCAATTTAGCAACCTAGTGAGACCCTATCTCCACATAAAAATAAAGGACTGGGGATGTAGCACAGTGTGCAGGCCCCTGGTACTGAAGGGGGGAGAAAAAAAAAAAAGAACAACCAAAAAACCAAGATTGTAGAGTTTTTGGATTCCACACTGCTCAGGTAAAAAGTCATTCCCATGGGCTCTGCCCCCAGCTGAATGCTGACGGCTCACTGTCTGTCAGGCACCCCTAGCGTCTGGCTCCTGGTGTCTGCTGAGATGCCCCTAGCCACCAGAGCCTGCTCTGTTCCTTACCTCTGCGAAGCAAACCTCCAGGAGTTATTCTTGTTTTTTCTTTTCTTTTTTTTTTTTTTTGAAACAGAGTCCAGCTGTGTGCCCAGGCTGGCCTTGAGCTCACAGCGATCCTTCTGTACTGGGTGTCTCAAGTGCTGGGAGTACAGGTGTGTGCTGCCACGCCTGACCAGGAGTTATCCCCGCCACCTGTCCTCCCTCTCTCTTTTAGTCCCTGTCAGTTCCACGGGTCCTGCATCCTGCCTCATGAGAGTCTCTTACCCAGTGCAGGCCTGCACCCCGCAGCAGCCTGCAATCCGGTGCCCGGCCAGCCTGCCCTGCTGCAGCCTCCTCCCTGTCACAGGGATGCTTGTCTGTGAAGCATGAGTCTCCCTGTGTGCTTGGGGACACTGTGTGCTTCAGGCACCTGACTTCCTGCCTCCCTAACAGGCCTGGAGCTTGAGGACAGGCTGGTTTTGCCGGCTTCAGGCATCTTCACTCCCTATCCTACACTCTCACAAATCCTCTTTTTCTTAGTGAACCCCTGCTTTTCTGTCGCTTTCTGTCTAGATATTGCTTCAGACAGGAAGCTGTCTCTGACAGCATGACTTCTCCCCTGGTGAGCCTGTCCTTTAATTACTCTGACCTTTGCTCAGGATGGCGTCCCACACGGTCTGGTTGCTGCCTGCTTGCTTCTCCGTGTCCCTCAGTGGACTCCGCCTCGCGACCTCATGGACAGCTCTGTCCCCAACACCTGGCTTTCAGTAGTCCTTGGTCTGTTCTAAAGCAGGCTTAGAGTTGTATGTAAACCAGGCAGGACTGTGCTTTGTTAAAGCTGAAACCGTGCTTGGCTGACGCAGCTGTATCTTCAGTGTTGTATATATCCATGTATGTGTTTCTCTCTTCTGGATTTTTGGTGGGCTGGGCAGTATACTGGGGACTGAACGAAGGGCCCTTCCACTGAACTACACCCTCCAGGTAACCCCCTACACACTTTATTTTTTTTGAGACAGAGTCTTAGTAAGTTGCACAGACTAGGCTCAAATTTGTAATTGTCCTGCTTCAGCCTCTTGTGTAACAAAGATTACAGGTGTGTGCTGTTGTTCCTGACTGGTATATTTTTTGAATTTTTTTTATTATGTAGTTCAGGCTGGGCTTGAATTCATTATGTAGCCCAGGCTAACCTCAAACTTTTGGCAGTTCTCCAGCCTCAGCCTTTGGAATTCTGGGATTACAGATATGTGCTACCTCCTAGCTAGTATATTGTGATTTTTTTTCTGACTGTGTAGTTCAGGTTGGCCTTGAACTCACTATGTAATGTCGGCCGACCTCAGACTTGCAGCAGTCCTCCTGCTTCAGCCTCCAGAGTGCTGGGAGTATAGGCATGCATCACTACACCTGGCCCAGAATATTTTTCTCACAGAGTTTATTACCTTTGGCTCAGTCTGGAACTCTTTATCTTTCTTGGGTTCCCCTATGAGGAACTATGTTCTAGGGGAGACCATTCACAAGATGGATTCTATTTATTTCTCACTCAGGCTATGGAAAGTAAACTACTCGTTGGAGGAAAAAATATAGTAGATCATACAAATGAACAGCAGAAAATCCTGGAGCAGAAACGGCAAGAAATTGCAGAACAGGTAACTTTGTATTCTTTTCTGGGGAGAATAGGGTGGATTAAAGTGACTCTGTGCTCCACAAGTGCCTCTGGTGTGAGTCACTCTTCAAAGGGAACAGAGACAAGATATATCAGCTTCAAAACAGTAGTTAAGACAGATGGGGCACCCATCCTTGTATTCTTGTACTGACGTAGTCTCTAGAACAAGCCGCTACATTTTGTGATACTGTTTAGAAACGTCGAGAGAGAGAAATCCAGCAACAGATGGAAAGTCGAGATGAGGAGACCTTGGAACTTAAAGAGACTTATAGCTCACTGCAGCAAGAAGTGGACATCAAGACCAAAAAACTCAAAAAGGTACGAGGCGCCTGAGGCCAGGGAGAGGCTCTTGGGATTGAGGGTAAGGGAGACCTCTGCTCTTGGTGGACCTTCCTCATTTGCCTCTCCCTGGTTCTAGCTCTTCTCCAAGCTTCAGGCGGTGAAGGCTGAGATCCATGACCTCCAAGAAGAGCACATCAAGGAGCGCCAGGAGCTGGAGCAGACGCAGAATGAGCTCACCCGCGAGCTGAAGCTCAAGTAAGTGTGGGCTCTGTGCGGTGCTCAGCCACCACGGGGCCTCGGCTGGCCTTGTGTGTCAGATAAGAAACATCCCCAAGGGCAGAGCCCCAGCCTGCTTCCTGACCGCTGTCTCCCACTGAGCTGTTGTCTTCGGTTTATTCCTAAGATAGTCACTTTGCATTTCTGGGTCCATTTCTGGGAAATCACCAAATGATCTCCAAGATCTTCTCCATCCTACTTTCTTAACGCTTTTAAAGTTCTTTACTTACTGGAACAACTACTGCTAAGATAACCATATGTAATATATATTAACTGGTGATGATTTCTGTTTTTTTTTTTAAATTCTTTATCATTTCTACCCTTTTTTTGTTTTGTTTTAAAAAAAAAAAGAAGTAGGGCTGGGGATTTAGCTCAGCGGCATAAGCGCCTACCTGGCAAGTGCGCAGTTGTGAGTTCAATCCCTGGTACTGATAAAAAAATAAATAAATAAATAAAATAAAAAGTTCTGTATTTAAAATAATAATAACAAAAATAAAGTTCTGCGCTTACCACTATCTACTGATAAAAGAGTTTTAAAAAAAATTTTTGGGAGCCAGGGATATAGCTCAGTGGCACAGTGCCTCCCTGGCAAGTATGAGGTCCTGAGTTCTATTTCTGATACTGCCCCCAAATTTTTAAAATTAATTTGACTTTTTAATTGAGAAATTGACCTATGCTGGGTGTGATGGCACATGCCTATAATCCCAGCACTGGAAGGCTGAGGCAGGAGGATTGCCATGAGTTCAAGGCCAGCCTGGGATACATAGCCAGACCTTGTCTCAAAAAAACAAAAACTGGCCAGCAGAGACCCTGCAAGCTGAGGGGTGAATTAGGATAGAAACCCCCACCCCATCCCTACCCTCACAACCAGAAACTGGCTGATTCAGAGGAGTAGTTTTGAAATCAAATATCAGATTTTCACTGTTTTGTTTTGTTTCATTTTATCATTGTTTTATTGCCTTTAAAATAAAAACAAATTTTAAAAAATGGGCTGAGGATGTGGATCAGTGGGAGAGGTCTTGCCTTATTGGAATGAAACCCTGGGTTCAATCCCCAGCACTAAAAAAAAAAAAAAGAGAGATAAATTGTCCTGATGGTCTAATGAACCCCCAAGTGGTCATTACCCAGACTTGAACACACTTTGAGTAGCATTATTCTCATGAGGCCTGGGCTAAGTATTCTTTTAAAACTCTGTAAGTGATATTACTGTGCAGCTTGGTTTGAGAACTACTTGAGTACTATGTGCAGTGGCACATGCCTGTAATCTCAGCTACTCAAAAGCCTGAGGCAAGAGGATCACAAGTTCAAGGCCAGCATGGGCAATTTAGTGACACCCTGTCTCAAAAAGGTCTGGGGATGTGGCTTAATGCTAGAGCATTAACATAACATGCCTGGCCCTAGATTCGAGCCCCAGAACCTCCCCAAAGTGGGATGTGTGTGTGTGTGTGTATGTGTGTGAGAGAGAGAGAGAGAGAGAGAGAGAGAGAGAGAGAGAGAGAGAGAGGATGAGGGGGAAAGGAGGGGTAATACTTTATTTCTTCAGGGGTTGTAAAGTGATATTTTCTATATTAATGCCACCATATTATCAGCTAGATTATTTCTTTAAGGAAGAACTTTTTTTTTTTTTTTTTTTTAACTTTCTATTGGTACCAGGGATCGAACTCACGACCGCCTGCTTGCAAGGCAGGTGCTTATGCCGCTGAGCTAAATCCCCAGCCCCAAGGAAGAACTTTTGAACCAACCATGATGGCATACACCTACAATCCCAGCATTTTAGGAGGCTGAGGCAGGAGGATTGCTATAAGTTTGATATAGCAAGTTTTAAGACCATCTCAAAAAACCAAAAACTAAAAGAACTTTTCAAAGAGATTCTTAGACTAACCAAGTTTTAAATTTGGAAAAGGTCCTTAAAATTAAAAGATTGTGTCAGTCCTTTTTGTTTGTATGGGCATCTAGTACCAAGCAAGATACCAAACAAGATACCAAAACATTATAATAGCTATATTTGGATAGTAGAATTATGAGTAGTTACATATTTCTTTTTTTTTTTTTTTTTTTTTTTTAGATAAGGTCTTACTCTGTAGTTTAGGCTGGCCTCAAACTTACAGTGATTCTCCTGCCTCAATGTCCCAAGAGCTGAGATTACAGGAATGTGCCACTACGCCTGGCCGTATTTCACATTTTTAAGGAGTAAATATTTCAGGGGCTGGGGATTTAGCTCAGCGGCATAAGTGCCTGCCTTGCAAGTGTGTGGTCGTGAGTTTGATCCCCGGTATCGATAAAAAACAAAAAAGACAAAAAGAAAAAAAAAAAAAGAGTAAATATTTCTTGCCTTTCAATGTACAAGGCCCTGAGTTTGATCCCCAGACCACACACACGCATTCACACTCACAGGAGTAAATAGGAGCTTTGTAATCAGAAAAAAGTATGTTACAAAACTAATTTCTGAAATGTCAAAATAAAGAGAAAATTTCATCTCCCTAAAACTGTTTTGACCCTAAGGAGGCCATTGTAATATCTTTTTCTAATCTTTTGAATAAACAGTGAGTTGACCTGTTCCTCAGTATCCTGCACCTCTGTAGTGTTTGTTTTTTGTGCCATCAAACAGTCATCACTGTGGGCAGATGCAAACCAGTGAGCTCCAGTTTCCTTGTTTGCTGTGTTTCCTGGGCAGTGGTCAGGCAGAGACTCTCCTCACGGATGGTCTTCATTTTCAGTGGGCCAAATCCCTTTGGTCCTGATCTTTGCCCCAGTCAATTAGAATGGGCAGTTTTCTAGCTTGGGCAACAAGCCCTGGAACTGGAGGAAGGCCATTTTATTTTTAATTTGTTTTCAGTGTTTTGGAGGCATGGTCTGGCTTAGCTCATTAGTAGTTCTTTGAAAGATCCTCTGGACTGGGTGGCGCATGCCTGTAATCGTAGTACTACTTGGGAGGCGAATACAGGAGCATCACTGCAAGTTTGAGGCCACCCTGGATATCCTGTCTAGTGAGACACTACCTGAAAAAACAAAACAAAATAAAACATCTTTTGGGCAGCAAATGTTCACCCCAGGGTAGCCTGTGCATTGCTTTTCTCCTCAGTCCATTCACTTCTTCATGCTGCTCCTCCACACTCCTGGGAGGACAGACCATTCTCAGCACCTGCCAAAGTAAGTGTGCAGCACCATTACCTCATTGTCTCATGCAGGGACCAGGTATCATTCATGTCTGTCTCTGTATATGATGTTAGGCCCATAGTAGTTGCTCACTAAATGTTTGCTGAGTGACTTGCTCTTAGCTGTGTTCTGTGGGAACATTTGAGTGAATACAGATATTGAGTGACTCAGTATTCATGATACCATGTTGTCAACTATGGAGTTTCTTGTTTTGTTTTTTGAAGAAGAGTCTCATTATATTGCTGACATTAGCCTCGTAAGCTCAAATGGTCTTTCTGCCATAGCCTTTCGAGTTGTTGGGATCCGAGTCAGGTGCCACTGCATCTGACCATTTATGTATTCTTCATCTTCATTCACTCATGTTCCATGTGTTCCACAGGCATCTTATCATAGAAAACTTTATTCCTCTGGAAGAAAAGAATAAAAGTATGAACAGATCCTTCTTTGATGAAGAGGAAGATCATTGGAAATTACATCCTATAACTAGACTGGAGTAAGTCACTATTTATTTTAAGTAGACTTGCAGGTGGGGAGGGAGCAAGGAATGTTGAAAAGCTGGACTTGACCACAGGAGTGTGAGGAAAAACAGAGTTTGACTTATTTAACATCAGGACCAATTACATTTCTGACTTTGTGGCTGCCTTAGGTCCATGAGGTAAAGCTTGGTGATGAGCATGCTATTAGGAATTGGGAGGCTTTGTCACCAGTGAGCTAAAAACCTTTCTCACATTGCTGCATTTCCATTTCCCTCACTGCATGGAGCGCGCTAGACCCTGTGAGGACAGCACGGAGATGATACTGTGTATCATCAGTCTGAACCTGAGTCTCACTGGGCTAGGGAGACCTCTGCCGAGGATGCAGGGCTGGGCGTGCTCACAGCTGTGCTCTGTGCCTGCTGTCTTAAGCACTGCCTGGTAACCAGGATCTCTTCCAGCTTGAAAGAGGCTTAGTGCTCACATCTGCATGAGACAGCAAAGCAAGCAGGACACAGAAGCAGCTGCAGCTCTCGCGGGTCAGCCCTCAGCCCTGCGAGTTACGCTCTGTGTTCCGTGTGCCTCAGAGTCTTCTGAGTGCTTGTCCCACAGGCAGCCTGGGATGTGGGGTACACTCCAACCGGGGCCCTAACGCTGTAGTCCGTTTGCAGGAATCAGCAGATGATGAAGCGGCCAGTCTCAGCTGTTGGCTATAAGAGACCACTGAGTCAGCATGCAAGAATGTCCATGATGATTCGTCCAGAGTCCCGATACCGGGTGAGAAGTCTGTACTTGGGTTTTCTCCTCTCTTTTTTGGAGGAGTTTAGATGTGCATAGTTTAAATCCTTAGGCACTATTCTGCAGAGTCACAGAGTTTGTACCCTGTCCTTTTCCAGAGAGATTGACAGCATTTGTAATAATGATAACTATTATAACAGCAATACATAAATATAGAACTCATGAATACCAAGTGCTGAGCTCAGAGCAAGGTGCGGAGGAGAGTGCAAGCTTTTTGTCCATTGTAGCCCCTAAATATTACCTGGAAGCTTCAGAATGATTCTGGGGGGGCACTGGAGCAAGTGCAATTTTCTGGTAACAGGATGTGGGCCTGTGTTAAAGAACTGTGGTACAGGGCTGGGGATTTAGCTCAGCGGCGTAAGCACCTGCCTTGCAAGCAGGCGGTCGTGAGTTCAATCCCTGGTACTGATAAAAAAAAAAAAGAACTCGGGCTCTTCCATTTTACATCGTGTGGATCAGTCATGTCACTGAAGATGAGGTACAGTTTAGGGCTAGTAATAATCCCAAAATATCTTACAATAAAAAGAGCTTGTGTTTATAAGCACTGGCTATGTGCTGGACCCTGTACTGAGTGCTGGACGCTGTCTTCACTGGAACTCTCCCATCTGCTCTTGCAGTCAGGAGTTGATGAAGTGATCCTGGGAGGCACAGTGTCTTGTTAAGTTCAAAAAGTTTGTCCTAGAGGTGTAATGTGAATTTTTTTTTTTTTTTTTTTTTGGTGTAATGTGAATTTAAAATTCCAGTACACAGTAACATTTGGGCCATTTTTTTAAAGATTGTGATACACAGTATATTAGCCACTATTATTCTCTATTTTGTTATGAGGCTTTGTTTTATTTTTTCATTGAAGAAGAGTACTTTTCATATTTTATTAATATCTACTTGTATTACATAGAAATGTAAATTTTAAAACAGTATAAAATATATGAAAATGAAAACTTGTTTTTTCTGGTTGATGGAAGTATTCTCACTTTAAATTGTCTTCTTTTTGCTTATCTATATTTTGAAATTACCAACAAGGAGCCCATATTTTTATAATGTAAAAAAAAGATTTTCACTTAACTGGGCATCGTGGCACACACCTCTTAATTCCAGCAGTCAGGAAGCAGAGGCAGGAGGATTATGAGTTTGAGGCCAGCCTGGGCTACATAGCTAGTTTAAGGCCAGCCTAGACTATAGCAAGACCTGTCCTCAAAAACAAAACAAAACAAGTTTTGTTTTTCCCTTAGAACCAGAGCAAAATAGATTATTAGAATTATTTAACTACAGAGGTGTTATTCTTCCTAACACTGAGCTATTTAAGGTTAAAAAAAAAAAAAAAAGCAAACAGATTTAGTAGATGGGGTTTTATACTGTGGAAGATGGGTAGTGGGTCAGAATCCTCAGAACCTTTTTTCTAGCAGTTTCAGATTATGTATATTTGGCCAGTTATTTTGGGTCTCAAGCCAAAAACACAATTTTAAAGCTCACAAATCAAATTTGTTAGTTTTCAGAGGACTAATCTGACGTGAAGGAGAATTTAAAGCAATGATTTGCAAATGAGAAGTGAATCTACTTCTATTGGGAGAAATTTTATGCAGTATCTAAAATTGATAAATGAGGCTCTTCCTCTGCTCACCTCTCCCTGCTGTGGCCCTGCATACCTGTGCCAGAGCCCTAGAGCTGGCTGAGTGGAAGGCAGCCAAAGTTGAAGATGGCATGTGTATATGTGGTACTTTCTTATCCAGTCCTCCCAGGAGCTATGAGAGGCTCGCCACAAGACTTCGATTGTTGGAGTCAATCTTCAGGGCTAATTATGAGGCAAGGCTCACAAGTTGTTTTTAAAATGTAATTATAAGGACGTACACTGCTGAGCATGCCCTCCACATACCACACCAGACTCCTCCCCTCTGCAGCTGAAAAGTCTCTAGGAGTCGAGAGGTGGTGACTATTCTCTTTATAACTTTGGTATTTTCAAATGGTCTGCAATACATGTGATTTTACTTAATAATTTTTCTCTAGTTATTTCCCTTAGGCTGTAAGATGAGATCCTTGTAAATAAAAATAAAAATAAAAAATACAGCCAGAGATTTAGTTCAGTGGCTCAACACCTGCCTAGCAAATGCAAGGTTCTGAGTTCGATCCCTGGTTACCCGCCCCACCCACAAAAAAAAAGAAAGAAAAAAGAAAAGAAAATACAGAAAAGCGTAATGCAGAATATAAGCTGGGCATGGTAGCACTTGCTGTAATCCAAGCACTTGAGAGGCCAAGGCAGGGGAATTGCTGTGAGTTCAAGGCCAACCTGGACAGCATAGTGGTACCCTATCTCAAAAAACAAACAACAACAAAAATAAAAATAACCATGATCCCATCAGAAAAAATATATCAAACTGTATTACTTATTCTATGCAAGCTTTTAGTAGGCTCTGAATGGCATGCAATTTGCATTCGTATCCTCAGAGGAGGTTTAGTGTGCCTGTATTCCCTGTGTCTGACTGGAAGCTGACCTAGTTGGTGATAACTTTGTTCCTGCAGGCAGAAAACACAATGCTCTTAGAACTGGATATGCCCAGCCGGACAACAAGAAACTACGAGGGCCCCACCATCGCCCCTAAGGTCCAGGCTGCATTGGATGCAGCTCTGCAGGATGAAGACGAGATACAGGTGGATGCATCATTATTTGAAAGCACTGCAATTAAGAAATCCAAGGCCAGGTGAGTAGCTTTGGTGCACTGTGTTTGAAATAAAGACAAATAAAGGTAGAGGGTAGCAAGAGTGTTTGCTTAACATTGAAATGCTTATAGAACACACTAGAAGTTCTTTTTTCACTTACTCCACAAATATGTATGGTTGAGACCATGTGCTAGGTATACTGAATACCACAGCACCTAAGGTACCCAGTCCCTGCCATAAGAAACATGTATCCTGGTTACTTAGTTCTTTAGTTCCTATTGGTTCTGGTGTTCTTAAGTGCTTCACTTTGATTCTGCTGCTGATTTCCTGCAAAAAGAAATGTTGGTCTGGGGCTATAGCTCAGACAGCTTTGCCTGGCAAGCACAAGGTCATGAGTTTAATTCCCTACACTAAAAAAAAAAAAGTGAGGCTGGGGATTTAGCTCAGCGGCATAAGCGCCTGCCTTGCAAGCAGGCAGTCGTGAGTTCGATCCCTGGTACCGATAAAAATGAAAAAGACAAAAAAAAAAAAAAAAAGTAATGTCATCTGTTCTGTTTTACTGAAAAATATTGGGATATAGAGAATTTGAGAAAGTAGCTCTTTTAGTTACTTTTCTGATTGCTGGGACAAAATAGTTGATACCCACAAGTTAAAGGAGGTAAGCTTTATTTTTAGCCCAAGCTTATAGAGGTTTCAGTCCATAGTCCATTGGCTCCAAGGTAGGACAGCATGGCAGAGGAAAAGCAATGATTTGCAGGGAGGGTAGGAAGGAGGCAAAAAGTGGAAAACCTCCCTTTCTCCTTTCTCCCATCCAGGTTGTGAGCCTGTTGGATGGTGCCACCCACAGCTTCCCATTACCCAGTCAGAACTTTGCTACTCCAGTCAGTGTGCTGATCCAGTTATCACATACCCTTAATCCAGTATTGCACACCTATGATCCAGCTATTCCCAGAAGCCCCATTTGGGACCACATGAGGCTTTGGGGGACACTTTAGGTATAAACCATAACAGTAGCCAAGTCCAAGGAAATCTACCAAGTAAGTGTTCAGACAGAGCTAGTGTTCAAATCTTGGTGTACCTTAACCCTCAACCTAGGCTCTGAGCCTTCTTGCTAAATTAACCTCCCTTGCTTGGCACGAAAGCAGAATTTTATCTTTGTAAATTCTGGATTACACAGTTAAGGAAAGAATGGTGTAGAAAACAAAAATGAAAGAAACTCTATTTATAAACTTTTTTCTCTTTTTGTTCTTGGAAATATGGCCTTGCTATGTTACTCAGGATGGTCTCAAACTCCTGGGCTCAAGTGATCCTCCTGTCTCAGCCTCCAGGGTAATTAGAATTACTGGTGTGTGCCACTGCACCTGAATTAGTAGTTTTTACCGGTAGAAAGAGAACAGTCACGCTCAGAACAGCTGCGAGCCTCACAGTCCCTCACATAGCTTTCCCATCATTTAGTGGTGGTCCATGCTGGCCATAGTGGGGATCAGGCTGAGCCAGCCTAGTGGTTTTACAGTTGTATGTGTCCTGGCTTTCAGGCCATTGAGGAAAGGTCACCTCGAAATGTGCATGACATTTGGAACTGTGTGATGTCTACACGTGCTTTACTTTTGCAGGCCTAAAAGTGGAAGGAAGTCCGGATCCTCCTCCTCATCCTCCTCAGGAACTCCTGCATCTCAGCTGTATCCACAGTCTCGGGGGCTGGTTCCCAAGTAAAGCTGGGGCTCCTCTCCCAGGGCGTGAACAGCAGTGTTGCCTTCTGAGGGAAGAGATCAGCACGAAGCTGCAGAGAGGACTCGAGCAGGACTCAGAACTGTTCCCCTGAGAAGCAGTGGCCTCTGCAGATTAACCAACCTAATCTGGTCCAACATGCTGGTCCTAATCTGGCACTCGGCTCCTCTGGGAAATGTCCTTTAAATAGCATCTCAGAAATGCATGGGTAAGGTAAAGTGCGATAGTCCTAGAGGACAGCAAGAGAATGACCGTGACCTTGCTTCCATTCCCCCTTGCCTTCTTTCGAGTCCCGCCTTCTTTTCTTTCCTCTCCTTTTCTAGTCTGTTCTTCACATTGGGCTCCCTTTTTGTTGAACAGTGGGGCAGAATCAAGGGTCCCCTTAGCAGGACTGTGTTTTCGGAGCCTCAGGATAAAGTGACAGTAAGGTTGAAAAGTGAAAACCCTAGAACTTGAATAGGACCTGATCCCGTAGCGAGAAATGAGGAATCTTATTTGCATCTAATCCCAGAAGGACACTATCAGCAGCTTCTCAGTAAGAAGTGGATCTGCTGAATGAGGAACTCTCTTCCCGTTTCTGCTCCTGAAGGATTCAGTGTCAGAAGCAGTAGAAATATCATTCCCTTTGCCTCCTTAGAGAGTTTAGGGAAATCACTTCTTTCAGACCTCAAAACCATAACCATCCTGTCAAACCTAAGTCTGAAAGCCAGTGCCATGTCCATCTACTGTGTCACTTTATTGTTCTTCATTTGTCATCATCTTTCCCTATGCATGCATATCTGAGCATCCTTGTGTAAGCCTGTCCTCTGCCTCTAGCGTGTGCTTTAGAGTGGGTCTGTTTTGTGGGAGAAGGGAGGCTGGCTCTGCCTTCTCTAATGGTACTAGAGTTAGGGGAAGGCAACACATAGTGACTCTTTAATTCCCCATTTTGTTTCATACTGGCAGAAAGAGCAGAAAAGTAGCTAGGCAGAGGCAGAGGCAGAGCTAGAGCCACGAGACTCGGCAGTGGGAAGGGCATGCACACAGGTGGAAGCAAAGGAGTCTGGCTGCCTACAACAGTGAACTCACGAATTCTCCCGCCGGGGCTCCCGCCAGGTGGACTGTAACCCCATCCCCAGCTCATACGTGTGTGAGCACAATATGACTGTGCCCTGTCCGTGTGTCCATGTGTTTCTGTAAGAGATGGAGACCAAGAGCTTGCCCAGTTTTAGAAATATGCTAATGTGCAGTTGTTGCCTTTTGTCTGTTTAAGTCCTACTGAATGCCTAGTCCAGGCTGGAAGCGCTCCTGTGTGGGTGTCTAAGTCCAGGAGCTAAGCCTGCAGGAACATTATGAGTCCCCAGGTCTGCCACACTGGCGCACCTTGCTGGCATGGTGTCTCAGGAAGATGGCGACTCAGGTGGGCCTTGAGTTATATTTTAACTCGCTGCTCAGTTCCCAAGGCATATTGCTGAATCAGAACCCATGGGAAAGAGGAGGCACCAAGTGCAGTGTCTTAGCATTCTGGAAAATGGAGATCTGGTATTCACTGCTCTCTCCTTGTTAGTAACCATTCTTTCTGAACCCAGAACTCTACTCAGCAGTTCCCAGAGCATAATGGAGCCTTCCTTCTTCTTTTCGTGGGATCAAACACTGCTTCTTCCTTCTTTACTAAGAATTTGCCTGTTTGAACAGGAACCAAATGATGTAGCCTAAAATAGTTATCTCCTGGTGAACATGTCTCTCACACCACATTCCTTCAAAGCTAGTCTGAATTCTCTAGGCTGAAAATAATCATGTAGCAAATCAGAGAACTGAAAACTGTGGACGACACTACACCTGAATACTGATGTCTTGGGGTGGCTGTGTGAGCAAAGGTAGTTAAATGACACAGAAATTTCCAAGAAGGCAAAAGAGGGAAGCCAGGTTGGCAGGCTTGAATACGAAAACAAGCTTGTCTTGTCTCAGCTGGGTTCAACTGGTGGTCTAGGGACATTCGGTAAAAAGACATTCACTTGGAGATGAAGCCGTCCTTTACCAAGCAGTCTCTGGTGCTTTTCTTCTCTCAAAATGGATCCGATAAATGTTCACAAAGAGGAGATGGTAAGACATGTTGCTGCCACCAGAATGGTGCTGTTTTGGCTTCTGAATTGAGCCACATGTGTAGAGGACATAGCAAGCCCACTGAGCACATTTGTGTTGGAATGTTCCAGAATGGTGGAGAGCCTTCCGGCCAGTGGCTAGTGAAGTCTGACAGCAAGTTTCTTAAGGGAACTCAGAAGACCATCTGAGAGAAGGAGTTTGAGACTATCTGCAGCCTTGCCAGATTCCCTTCTGCTCTGCTCAGTAGAATGTACCTGGCTTCATATTTTTACAGTCACACGTCTCCCAGACCTCTGGATTGAGAACCCAAGGCCACAAATGATAGGCGTGAGCACTTTCCTTAGACTCTGACCTAACACTGAATGGCTCCCATCCAATGCCTGCATGCTGCTTGACTTGCTCCATTCACACCTCCTCGATGAAGGGTACCAGAGTGTTCTGCAGCTCAGACACGGGCTGCTCTCTGCTTTTCTTGAATGACTGTTGTAAGTCTTCCTTCACTGAATGTAGATTTGTTGCCAAGTTTCTGAGAAGTGTCAACTCCCTGTAACCAGGGTGTCAGTTCTGCCTCACAGTCGCATTTGAAGTTGAGGTGAACTATGAACCCTCCTTGGACCATCCATATACCATCAGTAGATGAAATCCAGGCTTTATGTCCCCTAAGGCCATCCTGAAAATGTTCAGAGGGAACTGCTTATGAATACTGGGCCTGGCAGTTGTCTATCATGTGAGGCTTTGTCTTGTACTATTTGGAATTCTGGCACCTTTTTCCCTGCTCTTGTCTCTTGAATGAAACGTTCAAGGTTATTTATGAAAGAAGTGGCCCCACAAGGGCACAAGGCAGTGTGCTGTATGGCTCCTTGGAGTTACTATTGATCTTGACCTTCTCTTTGGCTACTTTTAGACAAAGAATATGCCAATACTTGGGGCTCTGAGTTTTGCAATTGATATTTATTTGTATCATCTCTTTGTCTAGGAATGTAAAAGTGATTCTAAACTAAGATGTGTAATAAAATGCAATCAGATTTATTGTACCTACAAAAAAGTGTCCTCATAAATGGCTGAGATTTTTTAAAATAACTGATGCCTGGAGCTGACACACACTATTTTCTTTAAATGTATTATTTTATTTTGTTAAAAGAAGGTAGAAATGAAAAATGTTGAATTGCAGTACTGGCATTTAAAATATATAGCAGCAAGGATGGAAGACATAAAATGAAGCGAGATGGGCTGGGGGTTATGACTTAGTGGTAGAGTATTTGCCTAGAATGTGTGAGGCCCTGGGTTTGATCTCTGGCACCTCAAAAAAAGAATGTGGGTGAGGGGAGATAGTAACAAGTGCTGTTCACATTTTTCCACTGTGGCTTCTGAGATACTCAGGCCCAGGAAAGAGGCAAGAAATTTTTTTGCCTGTTTTACTCTTAAAATTTAAACTTACACATTGTATTTTAAAATATGTCCATGTCTTGCCCGACAGGCCTATAATTCCAGCATTCAGAAGGCTAAGTTTGAGGTCACTCTAGGCTATTGTAGTTTGAGGTCAGCCTTACATAGTGATACCTTCTCAAAAACTTTTTTTTTTTTTTTTTTTTTTTTTTTTTTTTTTTTGTCTTTTGAGACAGAGTCAGTTTGGACTGGTCTTGAACTTGTAGCCCAAGCTGGTCTCAAACTTGCAATGACCTTCTTACCTCAGCCTCCTGAGTGCTAAGATTATAGGTGTGCCCCACCATGCCCAGCCCTCATTTTTTTTTTTTTTTTGCTACTGGGGATCAAACTCATGTCCTCGTACTTGCCAGGCAGGCACTTGCACCAGTGAGCTAAATCTCTAGCCCCTAGCCCTCACTTTTTTTTTTTTTTTTTTTGTCTTTTTCCTTTTTATCGGTACCAGGGATTGAACTCACGACTGCCTGCTTGCAAGAATTGATGCCCTATTCATCCCTTGGATTTTTTTTTTTTAATTGGGAAACTGCTAAATCTTGGAAACTGTATTTTGAACTTGAAACTGATTATTTAATCTTGAGGCTGATTTTGGCAGAACCTTTGAGATGAGAGGCACCGTCTGACTGAACGTTCACTCTGAGACTCTGGCCTCCAAGGACCATGTGGTGGTCACATCTGCCAATCGGACTGACAGTGGTATTTGTCACAACATAACTGTAGCACTTGCAGCTGTCCCTGTTTCATCCCCGGTTTCTATCTCTAGTGTTGTGGTTAACCGCTTGCCGGGTGCTTCAGTTAGGTGAGCCAACTGGAGTCTTGCTGTGGGGGCAGAGTGGACAGACGGCTGCTTACAGCCTCTCTGGGATCTGTGGCTCCCAGATGCTTGTCGGATGCATCCCGTGCACCAGGGCTCTTGGTCTGCACTGGACACAGGGAAAGGAGGGAAATGCAGTGTGGGCCCCGCGAGAAGAGGAGAGGCAGAAACACATGAGACGGAGACCGTGAGCTCAGCACCCCTGAGAAGGCGGCTTCTTTCCCTTGCTCCCACAACCGTCCGTCTGTTTCCTGGGTTATGCTGAATGCTTTCCTGCCCAGCATCTTGTCAGTGCTCCGTCCTCTGCCTGCTACACTTTCTCTCCACTTTCTGCTTGGGTCGTTCTTACCAGTCAGCTTAATACCCTCTCCTCAGAGAATCCTTGCCAGTCTCTGTTCTGCTCTCCCCCACACATCCACACATACATACACTGAATGATCTTTATTAGACTTGTTTCTTTCTTAGCATTTTCCCCAACTTGCAATTATGGATTTCTTTGCTAAGTTCCTTGAGAGCATGATCTATTGTCTTCCCTAAACCTGATGTTCAGAAGAATTAGATGCTGGGGCTGAGGATGGGCTAGAGCACTTGCCCAGCATGTGTGAATCCCTAGGTTTGATTTCTGAGCACTGAGTACTGCAAGGAATATAGAAAATAAATGCCAGGTATGGTGGCACATCCCCACCACTGAGAAGGCTGAGAAAGGAAGACTGCTGCCAAGTTCAAGGCCAGCCTGAAATGCATAGTGAGACCTCACCTCAAAATAACAGAAAGGAAATAAGCAAAGAAGAGTTGGGTGGTTGAATAGTTGCTGACACCTACAGCTCAGAAGCAAGGGACGTTAGAGGAAGGAACAGTGTGCCTGAAGAGGAGGCATCAGAGTGAGTAGGTCTCACCCACCTTGGCAGAAGGGAAGCACATGCCAGACCAAAGGAGCCACCTAAATGGAGGCATGGAGCCTGTCTGGTGCCTGGGAAACCAGCAAGGAGTGGAGAATGAAAGGCAGCCAGGCAAGTGTCTTGTCCTGTAAATGGGGAAAAGCCCTGCAGGGCTTGCGATAGGGTGAAGCCCAGCCTATTTATACTTCAGCTTTCTTCCTGTGCCTGTTTGAGCCTGCCTGCCTGCTATGATTTCTGAGATAACAGAAAGTGATTTCAGTAAGTGTGTGCTACAAGTTTGCCTTCTGTTCACATAGGTTTTCTAGGCTTACTGGCAAATCCTATTGTGCTAGGAGCTTTCTCAACATAGCCCAGTAACCAGGAAATTCACCGGAGCACTTCAGTTTGACTGTAAGGTCTGAGGGCCTTGGAAATGGGGCCTAGGTATTTTCAGGGCAGTGGGTAATATCTGGGAGCAGAAAGATTAAACTTCTGCCACTAGGTTTGAAGTTCATCTTCCTTATGCAGGCAAACAAAAATTTCTATATGCTGCACGTGAGTGTGAATCATGGACCACAGCTGTGGATCCTGTCCTTCCCAAGCCACAATCTTGTAAGAAATTATTACTCTTCACAAAGAAGAAAATTCAAGGGGAGGAGAGGCACTACTATGGCACAAAGGAGATCCCTGTTTTCAGAAAAAGCATGTTGAACAGTGATGAGCCTCCCTGCTAGATTTTCCCAGGGGCAGTGAGGAGAACTGGGGTTTGGCCTCAGATCCACTTATCCCCTGCCCCGCCCCCCCAAGCACACACACACTAAGGATTAAGCCCAGGGGCACTGTACTACTGAGCCACATTTTAAGCCCTTTTATTTACTTCATTTAATTTTTTAAAAAACTTAGTGAAACAAGGTTTCACTAAGTTTTCCAGCCTGGTCTCAAATGTGAGATACCCTGCCTCAAGCTCCTGTGCAGTTATGCCACATCAAAGACCTTGCCCCAGGCAGCCTCACATTTGGTGGTGAAGGCATGGGGTTAATAAAATGCTCCTTACCATGGCAAGGAGTTAGAAGTACTCTGAAGAGAAACATGTCAGGTCAGAGGTTACAGAGGGCCCTGCTGAGGGAACGGCTAGGCGAGGCTGGGAGGTCAAGGAAGGCATCCCTGGGGCAGAGTCCAGTAAATGAGGGGGCAGGCTGGGCAGAGTGCAGAGGTCTGAGGCAGGAGAGTGAGGGGGCGGCACGGGGCTGGGGTGGCAAGTGGGGAGCTCCAGATGTGAGTTAGCAGGGAATTGTGTTCTTAGGCCAGTGAAAGCTTTTGAGCAGAAGAGGGACACTGTCTGCCAGGAATGCTTTACAGGGATCCCTCTGGCTGTTCTGTGGTGTCAGACCACAGACAGCAAGGTGCGAGCCAGGTAACTGGAAGGCTGTGAGGAAGAGAAGTGAGAACAAGCCTTAGGGTACATTCTGTTTGCTGGTAACTGGATGTGAGAGGTAAGAGCAAAAGAAGACCTAACAGCAGTTTCAAGGCTTTTAATGTGAAGCTTACTGAAATTCCACTTCTGCCACTCCTTCCTTGTAGCCTCTATTTTACAAATCAAAACAGGGCTGAGCTGTAGGTCAGTGATAGAGGCACGAGCACAAACCTGGGATTGATCTCCAGCACAAGACAAAAACAAAAGCCAACCCCACACAGCTTTATGGAGAAGTAATTCACTTACTTAACTGTAACACCCATATAAGGCATACAATTCAGTGTTTTATAGTGTATTCATTATTGTGCAGCCATCACCACCGCCAACTTTAAAACATTTTCTGCATCCCCCAAAGTAACTACATGCTATAACCACTCCCCATTTCCTCTCAAGCCCACGGCCCTAACTAGCCACTGATCTACTTTCTGTTTTTCCTGTCTACTTTGTCGCCCTCAGGGGCTCAGAACCCACTTGTCCATCTGTAACCTCACAGGTGATCGGGAGGTTTTACAAGATAACATGAAAAGGGAACTCAATGGAGTGCCTAAAAGAGCCATCCTTCACCCTTCCTGACTCTTGGCTCACCACTTGAGAACAGGGCAGCAACCTGTTGTACTAGTAAGGCAGCGTGGACAGTGGTGAAGGGCTTGGGTGCTGGACTCAGACTGCTGGCTTGGGAAAGAGAAGCTCAATCATTTATTAGTGTTGCAGTTTTGGCCATGTTGTTTAACGGCACTAGGGCCTCAGATTCTTTATCTGTCAAAAATGGATCACACCAAGTGCTCCTGAGTCAAAACATGAAGCACTGGGAAGAATGCTTAGTATGTAACAAGTGCTCAGTGAATGTTCATTGCTGTGATATTCTCAGTATTAGTCACTTAAGGAGTCCTGCAGGCAGGCGGTGGCTCCCAGAGGCAGGGCCAAGGATGGGTACAGTATTTCTGAATCCAGGCTGTTGCAAAGGTTCTGCAGAGACCACTGACTTATTTCTAGGCTTTGTTGTGCCTTTTGTTGGATCTGTACCTTTGCAAAAGTCATTTGTCCCTCTAAACCTCAAGTTGCCATCTGTAAAGTGGGGATAAAAAAATCATTCTTCATGGGGCTCTGTGGAGAATTTAGTAACCACTTTATTATTTCTTTAAATTTTATTTTATTTTTTGGTACCGAGGATCGAACTCATGACCTCACACTTGCCAGGCAGGCACTATGCCACTGAGCTAAATCCTCAGCCCCATAAATTTTATTTTATTTTTGAGAGAGGGCCTTGATATTTTTCAGGCTGGCTCTAAATGCATGGGCTCAAGAGATTCTCTGGCTTCTTCCTCCAAAAAGCTAAGACTGTAGCCATATGGCACCATATCCTACTATATTGTTAATTTTTTTAATGGGGGAGAAGAATGCACAAAACGTATTGTATGGCTAAGCATGAGAGTACCAGACTCCTTTAGTGACCTATGTGATATCTACTGTGTGCAAAGCACTGTTTGAACACAACAGGTAAAAACCTCTGCCCTCCTGGAGCTGGTATGGAATTAGCAGAGCAACACGGAAAGTAAGTAATATTTACAGTAATTATAGTAAGTAAAAATAAACCTAGGGGCTCAGTGCTAGAGAGTATTTACTTTGTTAGCATGTGCAAAGCCTTGGGTGAAATCTTTAGCAGCATCAAAAAGCAAAAGCAAACAAAGACATAAGAAAGCACATGTGTAGAGCAGTGCCTGGCTATGCTATCCATGGCAGCAGTGAGGGATAAGGACCCCGCAGCAGACACAGCCTATTGCCTTACCTCACTTTTGCTCAAGGGCAGTTTCTGGTTGCCTGGCTGAAATCTTTGACTCTTGTGTAACAGAATTTTCCTCTCTCACTTCAGCTACCATTTAAGGGTGCCCCAAGTGTCAGGAGTTGGCTTTCCTGAGGGCTAGGGAGGCTGAGGCTCTGGAGGAGTGTGGGCAGGAGAGTGTGGAGGGCTGCAGAGCATTCTGGTAACCCTGTGGCCAGGTTCTTGAGAGCTAGACCACCCTGGAGGTATCTGAGCTGGGTGAGAAAAATGGCTGATCTTTATAGCATTTTTCTTCAAACACTGCAGGATAAAAGTAAACATTTGCCTTAGGGTTAGATGCACAATGTGTTTTTGTTGTTATTGTTGTTTTTTAATCCAGTGGCCAAGTTTATTTGAAAAAGTGAAGAGTAAAGGAGAAAAACAAAACAAAAACGAGTGAGAGAAACTGGCTCTGCAGAGTTTGGGCCTAGTAAAAAGAGAAAAACAGTAAAAGAACACCCTGAAGAAAGCAGAGTGGGCTACCACAAGGAAAGCCACAACAGCCTGCATAATGTGTTTAAAGACTGCAATCAGACTAAAAGAAAGCCAGGTGTGGAGACACATTGGCGGTAGTACCAGCTATTTGGAAGGCTGAGGCAGGATGGCAAATTTGAGGCCAGCCTGAGCAATTGAAGTCCTGATGTAGCTTTGTGGGAGAGTGCTTACTTTGCCCATGCAAGGTTTTAAACAAGCAAAACCTAAAAAGCTGCAAAATGGCCAGGTTGAGGAGCAAAGACCTTAGGGCAAAAGACATCTCAGGGTGAACAAAGTACACTGCTAGGTCAGCAGAAAAGGTAGCAAGTGGAGTAGAGAGGTTTTGGAGCCAGATAGTTTAACCTTACCAGCAGCAAGTTACTGCACCTTCCTGGGCAGGTTAACACTGACCCTGCAGTTTCTAGTGCTTATTAGGCACACAGGAGGGTATTTATTTATGTATGTATATATTTATTTATTTATACTGGGGATTGAACTCATGACCTTGTCCCTGCTAGGCAGGAACTTACGCCACTGAGCTAAATCCCTGGCCCTGAATCAGGTATATATTATTAAATATTAGTAACCATATTAGTAGCCGTGCAGCACTGTGAAAAGAGTGTCAGCCAGAATTGTGTTCAGTCCTGATAAACCCAGAGTAAACTGCTAAACCTGAGTCTTGGGTTGTCTCCACATCTATAAAATAAATGAGTATCTCCCTTATACGTACAGTTGGGGTAGGGCATAATATGAATTTCTATGCTGAATAGCAGATGTTAAGTGCTATTTGCAAATCCCAAATTTTATTGACTATTCTATATATTTAATGAAGTAGTTACAAATCTCAGGAAAGTGCTTGCTTTTGCAGTACATATGCAAATCACAGGAAACTCCATTTCTTGGAGCTGATGGTAATTTTTTTTAGTTTTTATTTATTTAATTTTTTTGAGACAAGGTCTTACTGTGCAGTTCAGGCTGGCTTCAAACACACTATGTAGCCTAGACTGGCTTTGAACTCATAGTAATCCTCCTGCTTCAGCCTCCAGAGTGCTGGAAATATAGGCATGCATCACCATGCCCTGCTGCTGCTAGTAATCTTACAGATGTCTCTGTGCACACTCTTTTAGCCTGACCTTTGTAACACACATGGGACTGATAGTGTGGATCAGTGGTGGAGCATATGCTTAGGATGTGCGAGACCATGGGTTCTGCATTCAGCACTAAACTCAAAACAAAAAAGCAATATAATGTACACAGGTTATAGTACATATGTAATTTTCACTCAAAACATAACTTTAATGGCTGCCTAATAGGGTGTTGTACCAAAATTCACTTAACACTTTTTTTTTTTAAATAGTACTGGGGATTGAACTCAGGGCCTTCCCACTGAGCTGCATCCTAGCCTTTTAGAAATTACTATTATTATTTTAAATTTTGAAACAGGGTCTAAGTTGCTAAGTTACCTAGGCTGCATTAAATTTACGATCCTTCCTCTGGGATTACAATTGTGTGCCACCATGCCTGGTTTATTTAACACTCCTGATGGTCAATGAAGTCATTTCCAGATGTTTTACTGTTTTTTACAGTCCTGTATCAGCAACCTTGGAAACAGATAACTAGTCACTTGTTTAATTTCTTCCTTGGAATAAATCCTTTTAAGTGAATTATACAATCGAAGTCTTTTCCATTTTAATTTTCTTGGGTCACCCAACTTGTGTTCAAATACTAATATAGAACACCTGTAATTTTGTTACATATCACCATACCAACTGGTTCCCAAACCAACTGTATGAATTTGTACACCAACCAATAGTAAGTTGTGCCCATTTTTCTCTGTATCCTTGCTAATAGTAAATTCTGCCAATTATTTTATCCTGGGTCAGTCTTATAGAAGAGGCTCTCTGCAGTTTGTTGAGTCTGGATCAGGGAAGACCCATTTCCTTTCAACAAACATTGTCTCCTTAGACTCTATGCACAATTTTGACTCTAACAAATGCCCTAAAGCAAGCCACCTCTAGCTTGACTTACACTTTGAAATGCTGAGAATTTCAAGATTTAGCCCTGTGCTGGTCTGATCTATTGAAAAATAGTGTTATCAACTTTGATTTTGCCTGCAGTTCTAAGATTACTAATGAGTTGGAAATCTTTTTAAGTATTTCCTTTTTTTTTTTTTTCCTACTGGCATCCTTAGGACATTGTTATTTGACTGTTTTCAGGTGTTTCCTACTCCTACTTGGTGGCCCACACTGGTAATTCCAACACTCTCAAGAGCTGTGGCAGGACTGTAAATTTGAGTCCTGTCTTGACAATATAGTGGAGATGTAGCTCACTGTCAAAGCCCTGGGTGCAGTCTCCAGTACCAGCACAGAACATAACCCAGACACCTACTTTATTAAGAATCTTAACCTTTATCCTACATGTTGTGACAAATCTTTTCCCTCACTTACCTTTTTTTTCACTTACCTTTTTCTTCACTTACCTTTTTTTTCCCTCACTTATCTTTAATCATGTGTTTTGTATATTGTTGTCACATGCAAACTTTTATTGTTTTTGTTTTTTGGTACTGGGGATCGAACTCATGACCTCACACTTGCAAAGTAAGCACTTATGCCACTGAGCTAAATCTAAATCCCCAGTGCAAACTTTAATTTTAGGTAGTCACATCTGATTTACTTTATGAGTTCTGGATGGAACCCAGGATTTTGTGCATTCTAGGTTAAGTACCCCATCATTGAACTACCTCCCCAACCCATTTTGAGAAGGTTGTCATTAAGTTGCCCAGGTGGCCTCGGACTTGTGATCTTCCTGCCTGTTTCTGAGAAGCTAGGATTACAGTTGTATATCACCTCACCCAGCTTTCTTGATAGCTTTCATTTCTTTAAACTTATCATCATATTATGAAAGACTTTTAGTTCCAGCATTATAAAACTCTGAACTAGGTGGAATTTATTTTTTATTTATTTATTTATTTTTGTCTTTTTCATTTTTATCGGTACCAAGGATTGAACTTACGACCACCTGCCTGCAAGGCAGGTGCTTATACTGCTGAGCTAAATCCCCAGCCCCCTGGAATTTATTTAATGCATGGTGTTCCAGCTTCATTTTCCCAATGTTAATCTATGGTTAAGTCCCTTCTGCTTATTGACTTCTACCTTTTCTCTACCAATTTGAATTACCACATTTATCATGTATTACAGTTCCTTAGACAGCTGGCTCTTTATCTGTGGTGCTTAGTTTAATAGGTCTTTTTTTTTTAAATCAAAATTGCACTGTTTTAGCTATTGTAGCTACCTAGTTTATTTTAGTATCTGGTAGAACAAACCCCAGCTCATTAATCTTCATACTTTTTTTGGCAGTATAACAGAATGCTTAAGTTCACAAATCTTAGCCAGTCTGTTTAATCCATTTGACCATTTCCTAACTATGGGACTTTAAGCAAATTAGTTTTTCTTATCTATATAATGTTACTAATAATAGTATTTCCCCCATGATTTTTTGTTTTGTTTTGTTTTTTGAGACACAGCCTCGCTATATAGTGTAGGCTAGCCTTGAACTCACTATGTAGCCCATGCTGGCCTTGAACTTGTGATGATCCTCCTGCCTCAGCTTTCCAAGTGTTAGGACTACAGATGTGCACCATCACACCTGGCCCCATGGTGTTTTTGTAAAGATGAGATATGTGTAGCAAATTCTTGATGTGGCCTGACACATAGTGAATTGTCAGTAATGATTGGTTTGTAATGATAAAGATGCACCTGTTTCTCCAACTGAATTTTAGGAACATTTTGGCAATGAAATTTACTGAGATCTTCACTGAGAAGACGTTTACCTGGGTGGGAAATTTTTAGGTAATTACTATCCATGTTATAGGGTAAGCTTTCTAAGGGAGGCTTCCATTATCACTGCTTTAAAGCCTTATGCTCCTTGATAAGAGTTTTGTGGTTTTCTTTATATAAGTCATATATATGTATTTTTTTTTTAGGTATAAGGAATCAAACTCATGACCTCATGCTTGCCAAGCAGGCACTGTACCACTGAGCTATATTCCTGGCCCAAGACCTATATATTTCAAGCTTATTTCCAGACGGTGTATCTTTATAGCTTGTGAATGGGATTATTACTGGTGCCTAAGTAAGTTACCAATTCTTGAATGTTTATTTTACACTCTTGTTAGGTTGGGAAATAATTTCTCCTCTAGCTTGTGCCAGTCTTGAGATAAGCTCTTTCTTTCCACCCCAACAGGATTGCAGGTTTTTTTTTTTTTTTTTTTTTTAAGGCACCCATTGCACTGGCTTGCTGTCACCTGTCATCCAGCCATGGATGCAGAGATTGTCTCTCACTGGTTTCTGAGTTCCCAGGGCTTGCACGTGTGGAGGTTATCAGTGGCAACTGAAGGTGTCCCATGCTGTTACTGCTTTCTGAGAGCTACGGGAGCCCCTCTACCACTATGACAGAGGGCAGGGCAGGGACTAAGCCAATAACTTTTTTTTGTTTATACCAAGGATCGAACTCAAGACTGCGTGCTTGCAAGGCAGGCACTTATGCCGCCAAGCTAAAACCCCAACTAAGCCCATAACTTTTAAATTTTGTTTTCTTTTTTTTTTTGTCTTTTTCCTTTTTATTGGTACCAGGGATCGAACTCATGACTGCCTGCTTGCAAGGCAGGCGCTTATGCCGCTAAGCTAAATCCCCAGCCCCAAGCCCATAACTTTTGACCTCGTCTAGCTGATGGTCTAACTTGGGGCAGATGTTGACATCATCAATGTCAAGGGTAAAATAAATAGGGTTTTTTTTTTTTTTTTTTTTTTTTTGAGACACGTAGTCTATGTAGTTCAGATTGGCCTTGAATTTCTATGTAGCACAGGCTGGCCTCTAAACTTGTGGTGATCCTTTTGCCTCAGCTTCCCAAGTGCTTGAATTACAGGAATGTGCCACAATACCTGGTTGCTCATTGTATTTTGAACGGGCGTGTGAGCATAGGACATCAGCAGAAACCTTGCTGAAGAAGAACATTGCAGGAAGCATCATAGCTAACTCTGTAATCCCATCTTGCATTCTCTCCCCCACTGCAGACAAGCTTTAGTACTGAATCCCGCTTGCACGATTTCACTTAGCAAATGTTGATAACACCTGCTCTGTGTCAGGTCTCGCTGAGCTGGGGAAAGCCAGCAGCTGAGCTCAAGTCAGAGTTCTGCTGACTTCTGATTGTTGCAAGAGGTACTTTTGCTATGGCTTGGGATTCACCCAGCCCACATTTCTGGTTTTGTCTTCTGCTTCTGCTCTGCTGGAATGCGGGCCATATCCTAACTGAACACATGTAACTTCCTAAACACATTTTAAATCTCTCCCCCCGTTATGCTATCAATTCTACCCATCATTCCCCAAGCCACTGCTTGTCTCCTAAGTCTGCCCTCTCAGCGTTTGTTGCTGCTTCCTTCTTCAAAAGGATTTAATGTAGGTCTTAATCATGTGTACACTTAAACTTTCCACCCCTATGATCCCGTTAGACCAAGGACCTTTAGTCAGTGACCCTGTTTTCTTGTCTTTGGTGAACCTAACACATGAAGGGATTTTAGGGCGCATTACAATTGAAATGGGCCAAAGAAAGGCAACCTCTGAGATTAGAAAGATAGATGGCAGATGGACGATGAAGAAATAAGGGCTGCTTAACTGATTCTAGGGCCCCAACGAGGCAAAACAGCAAGATGACGAAGTGTGTGCTATGTGAAAAGTTGGGCTGGTTTAGTGTGAATCCTGGCTCTGATATGTATGAGGTGTGATAGAAAAATCCAGTGATTAAATTAAAAAGGATTGCAATAAAAGATGCATTGCCATTAAGCCCTCTCACTTATCCCATTATTGCTGCCACTTTCTGAAGCAGCTCTGGTTTTGTGTGTCATGGCTGCCTCAGTGTCCTGAATCCACTTGGACATTATTTATGCATTTGCTTCTTTTTTAATTTTACTGGTACCCCCCTTTTTTATATTTATTTTTTTATCGGTATTGGGGATCCGACTCACGACTGCCTACTTGCAAGGCAAGTGCTTATGCTGCTGAGCTAAATCCCCAGCCCCTGTACCCCGCCCCCTTTTTAAAGAGAATATATTTATTAGCAAAAGAAAGCTTTTGTTTGAATCCGAAGGGGTCCTGAGTGGGTTGTCCCAGATGTTTACCTGTCATGGTCATTGTGATTTTGGGGATAAGGCACAAGTCACATGATACCAGGCCTGGTGAATAAGGTTGAGGAAGACACACCATTAATGTTTGTATGAACCCAGTTTCCCATTGGATGACAGCAGCATTTGCTGTAGTTTTCTTTTTTAACTTTTTTTTTTTTTTTTTTTTTTTTGTAGTACCGGAGATCGAACTTACGACCTCACACTTGCCAGGCAGGTGCTTATGCTGCTGAGCTAAATCCCTGGCCCCATTTGCTGTACTTTTGATCATACCTTGTAAAGACACAAAAGAGGATTTCCAAAACTGGTTCAGAAAGTGGCAGGAATGATAGGCTAAATGTTTTCGACTTGAGTGGGAGTATTTTGAGGGGATTAATGGCAATGTGTCTTTTACTATAATAATTTTTTTAAAAAAGTAGCTGGGCGTGGTGGCACTTACCTGTAACACTTCGGAGTTCCAAGTCAGCCTGGGCTACATAGCGAGTTCAAGGCCAGCCTGAACTGCATAGTGAGAGCCTGTCTCCAAAAAATAAAAAAAGTAAACGTTCACCATATATTTTCTCTCGTTATATGTTGTTAGTGTCAAAGTGCTGGGACAGGTGGTGTTTATTTATTAGCACTGAGCTACATACACCCCCGGCCCTGGATGAGTGGTTTTCTCTACATCTCTCAGAGAAAAAGGGACCACTGCAACTACTGTTAATACTTTGACTACCAATTGGTGTCAGGCTGGGAACACCCTGGACCATTGTACAGGACTTTATATAAATAGCTACAAGTTGTTTTGGAAAGAGGGTCAGTTAACTTTTTAACAGATTTCACACAAGAACTACCCAAAAGGCAAACATGATTATGTCTTTATTAGTAACTATCTCATGTGTAACAAATTACCTCAAAATTTAGTGACTTTGAAAACAATTCGTCTCGCTTCCTCCACTTTGGAATCCAACTTCTTTGGATGACTGTGGCTGTTTTCTATGAGGCTGCATAGTCAGTATTCTTGGCCAAAGTTAAGGTCATCTGAAACTCATCTGAACCTACTGTCCTGTTACCTTTCCATAAAGCTGCTTGCCTGTCTTTGTGACATGACTGCCTTCGCTGTGTGAACTCACAGAACAAGAGCTGCAGTGTCTTTTCTGACCTGGTCCAGAGGCTACACCTGATCATTTCCCCCACGTGCCTACTGGTTCACAGTTCAGCCTTTTTCAAAGCTGAAGGGGCCTAACTAAACGGGATGTGAATACAGTCTTAGAAGCAGGGGAATCACTGGGTGGCCATTTTGGAGGCTGGCCTTAGGAAGGCCTTAGGAAGAATTTGGAATGAGAACTTCAGGTTTAAATGGTGATTCCAGTAACAGCTATGTGATATTTTTTTACTGGTTCTCCTTTACCTCACAAGATGTTGATACTGGAGACATAATGCCTGCGAAAGCCATTTCTATAAGCCCTCAGCTTCACATTTAGACATTAAAAATCACTAAAGAAGGACAAAAAGCCATATTGGGGTGAGGTATAAACAAATGTTTTCGTCATAAAAACTGCAAATAAAACAGTTCACCAATCTTATCAGTCTAGCACCACCACTCTTGTGTTAAAATGGACTTTAAAGGTTCTTTTTCTTGGGGCTGGGGATTTAGCTCAGCGGCATAAGTGCCTGCCTTGCAAGCAGGCAGTCGTGAGTTCGATCCCCAGTACTGATTAAAAAAAAAAAAAAAGTAAAGGTGCTTTTTCTTTTTCGTAGAGGAAGTGACTTATAGAGGAAGGATTTATCTCATTTGGTACATCTCTTTGGCATTAAGAAAGATTAAAAATTGGAAAAGTTCCTTAGTGAACCATTCCATGAAATCTCCCCCTAAAAACTTCAGCATATCAAGCAGGGAGCTTTCATTTTCCACACTTTTGGTAAAAACTAGCCCAGGTCATCCTTTGAGGCCATTCTCAGGTGCTCTAAAAATCTTTTTTAAGCAAAATGAAAAGAGGAATTTACTATTAAAGATGTTCTCCCGTTGTTGACCTATACTGCTTTAAAAATTTTATTTTTACATCATAAAGTAGCACATACTTAGTCTAGATTTGGAAAACAGAGACAAGTGTAAGGAAGAAGAAACATTACTCATACCTGCCCCTTAAGCTAAATGCTGTTTTGTAATTGAAATGAAAAAGAATTTTTTTCAATTAAAAATATTTTGTAAAAGAAGATATTTTATAGAAAAAAAATAAACAAAAATCACCCAGTCTTACTGGTCAGAGATAACTATTAATATTTTGATAACCTTTTTTTTTTTTTTAAGACAGGGTCTGGATATGTTGCTCGGACTGACCTTGAGCTTGTGATCGTCCTACGTTAGTCCCTTAGCCCCCAAGTGCTGGGATTCTAGACATACTCTACTATGCTTGGTTATATTTTGGTAACTAAAACTCCATTTCCAGCCCCATGGGGGACTGAAAAACAGAATTTTACTGATGGTAAATAGATAAACTATGAATTGGGATTACCCATCACCTAGGTAAATTCTGTGACTTAACAAGAACAGTAAGGTCATGAAGCTATGTCTGTTCATCTTTAAAACTTGCATCAATTCACCTGGGTGAAATCGTGTCTTAGTCTTGCCCACTTCTGTCTGAATAGGTTGTAAATACTGTTTAGGGCTCATTTGATGGAAAGTTATTCCTCAAAGATTTCCTGCAGTGGAGTATTTATTAAAATAGGGAGACAGTGTAGTGGTACACACCTGTAATGCCAGCACTTGGATTCTGAGTTCGAGGACATAGCGAGACCCTATCTCAAAAAACCACCCTCCCTACCCTGGGTCATTCATTCAACAGTTTAGGTGCCTAGCACATGTCAGTGATTATAGTCGATTTTGGGGGTAGGATGATGAACCCAAGTACATACTTGTACAGCATAGTCACCAAACACAAAGAGATGAAATGTGGGACCAGGAGTTTACACATTTGCTAGTCATCCCATTTATTTTATTTTTAAGGAGACAGGTCTCATTGTTATTACCCAGACTGGTCTTGAACTCCTGGATTCAAAGGATTCTCCTGCTTTAGCTTTCTAAACAGCTAGGACTACAGATTTACTATGTATTCTGTTGTTCAAATGATGGCACTGACTCAGCAAGAGGTTTCATAACTTGTTTGAGATCACCCAGGTGCAAAAAGACTGCACAGAAATTCAAACCCAGGCTTGCTGAAGCCTGGATCCTGAGGCAATACACTGTCTCATTGTGAGGTTAGGGGGTATATGTGTCTTGGGAATTCTTGGGTGTCTACTAGCTTCATTCTTTGCTTATGAGTTTGAAAAGGTGACTCATTCTTTGTACTGGGTAGGGTTGAATGTTAGTTTTGTTTATCTTACATTGCCAATGGCACCTGTGTTGATTTCCAAAGACAATTTACAGTAAAAATTACTATAATGAAAAAAATCCAAAAACATTTAGGTTTGAACTTTGCTGCTTCTGGCAAGAAAATAAACTCAGGAATTTGATTAATTAAAAAATCACAACTACTTTAGGCTTAATGACTGAAGCCAACTTTGCAACAAATATCTTGTACAGTCCTCTGAATATACTCTTTTCATGCTTGATTTGATGTTGTAATCTTTTTTTTTCAGTGTCATTTGTTGTACTGAAAACTGTGGTGTCCAATGTTCACTCAGATAAGACACCCCCAAACCAGTTCCAATTCTCTTGCTCACAAGTGGGCAGGTCAGGACCACATGGAGAATGATGTTGTAATCTTGATACAGTCACACCTAGATTCCCCATGGCCTGACCCAACTGTGACAGCCAGGTAGTGTTTGCTGAAAGAAATGAAGGTGTTTCCCTAGTACCTATATTAGCTGTATTTGTGGCTGTAAAAAGTTACCACAAATCTAGTGGCGGAGATCAAGGTGCCTGTATTCTTTTTACTCTGCTTCCAAATTCAACTAAGTTGTCAGAATTGAGTTTCTTGAGGTTATAGAACTGAGATCCCTGTCCTTGCTGGCTGTTGGCAGGGGTTTTTTCTCCATTTCTAGGGGCTGTTTACATCCCTGTGTTGGAGCCTCTTCTAAACCCCATAACAGTGAATCCAGTTCCTCTCAAACTGAATCTAATTCTGCTTTATCTCTCCAAAACATTTTTGCCTTCCTCTTCTGCTTTCCCACGTGATGACACTGAGCCCACCAGGAAAATCTAGGATGAGTCCCTATTTTAAGATCTTAAATTCCATCTGTAAAATTCCTTTTGCCATTAAATGTAACATGTTCACAGGTAAGTAATGGCAAAACTTTTAGAGCTTTCTATGATACTAACAACCTGTGACATATGTTGCATATAGGTTTGCCACCACTGCTCCAGGGCCACTAAAGCTTGGATACTGAGGTGAGCAGGGAGGATACAGTGCATGTCCTAACCACATACATGTTAGTGAATCTTCTCTTTTTTTTTTTTTCTTTTTTGACACGGTTTCATTATACAGTTCAGGTTGGCCTTGAACTCACTTTGTAGTCTAGGTTGGCCTTCCAGTGACCCTCCTGCCTTAGTCTCCCAAATGCTGGGATTACAGGCGTGCACCACACCATACCCTGCTCTAGTTGCTCTTTTTACAGGTAGTGGTGGCACGAACCTATTCAAAAAGACACCTGAAATAAGCCAAATGCCATGTCAAAGGTTACTGTGTCAACTGTAGATTGGGTACAAAAGTACAAAAAGTCAGTCAATTTTGGGGTGTGTTCCTCTCCCCCATTAGGGTGAAATTTTAAAATGTGCCCTTATTTCACCTTCTGTAATCGATATTTTTTTTTTAGGACTTTGTTCCCTGGATGTGGCAATCTTGTGTGAACATTACTAGAAGCAGGATCACTGAACCTTTTCATGTTAGGGGTTGGGCTGCAAGATAATGCTTTTTTAGTCCTGGTTCTATCCTGTGTTCCAACATTCAGGGAATGCAGGCTGTTTTTTCATCTATGGAGAAACCTTTCCGATGTGGCCTCTGATCTTGTTTTTGTAGCTTTACAGAGTTGATTATCAGTTCAGCTCAGGAATGAGTCTAGAAATGTTTCTGGACACTGGCTGAACAAATATACACAGCAAACTTTCTATATGCTGGGTACTTCAAACCTCATTTCATTTAATGCTCTGCAATCAAGGTGCAGAGAGGCTACTTAAGTACACTGTCCATTGTTAGCTGGTAACAGCTACCATTTATTAAACATGTGCTCTGTATCAGGGGCCAAATTATATGAATCTAATAATGTCAAGGTTCTCCTACAGTCTTTTCGATCTACCAGACGTTTTGTGTTAATCTTAGTAATTTTGTGAGACATTAGCTCAATACAGATGAGAAAACAGGCTGAGGGAGGTTGAGTAGTGAGGTTCATTTGACTCTAGAGCTTGGGATCTCTCCAGGATACTTCTCTAAACATAGGTGCATGACCCCAAGTTATTTACCCGCCATCATCATCTTTTTCTTCTTCTTCTTCTTTTTTTTTTGGTACCGAGGATCAAACTTACACCCTTGAGCTTGCCAGACAGGCGCTGTGCTGAGCTGTACGCCCGGACCCTTACCTGCCAACCTATCACAAAATTCACCAGCTAGTAAGAACGGTCTAGGCTGCAGGTGCAGCCACTACAAATAACACAGCAGCACGAAAGCACGGGAGGAAACGATGACCCATCTAGGTCCCTCAATCGTGGAAAAAACCGTTTTACTGGTATGAGTCTTTTTGTCTCATTATTATATGGCAGTGAGTCATTTAGGGGCGGACCAAAAGGGAAAGTCCTGCCTCTCTCGTGAGCTACACAAAGTGTCGGTGAGAACCGCCTAGGCCGGCAGAAGCACAAATTATAAACTGGGAGACGACCTACTAATTTCCAATTCCCAAGCTCACCAGACCAGCGGTCCAAAGACATCAAGTTTAGAAGGGGTTAAGCGGGGCTGTAGAGTAGCCACCGCCCCTTCCCAGCAAAGCCTCCCATAATCCTGCGGGCTTCAGCCAGTTCCCGAACCTCGCGAGACTCCGCCCAGTACCTTCCCCGAACATCTACCCACCCCTTATTCTTACCGAGATCTGAGCGAAAAGGGGGTGGGGGGTTGCAGAAAAGAAGGCCGCAGGGCACGCCGGGAGGTGTAGTCCAAGCGCTTCACGCAGCCATACTCTTCCGGAGCGGAGGAGGCCAGAGAGGCAGCCGGGACTACGATTCCCAGTGGTCCTTTCGGTTTGTTTTTGTTCAAAAAAAAAAAAAACCCCCACACTCCCCCTCCTCACTCTTCACACACACTCACACACACCCACGACAGACACGCACGCACCCAGGCGCCGGAGGGAAAGCTGTGTCTCGCCGTCCCGCCCTGCCGCCAGTCCTGTCTCTGTTCCTCAACAGAGCGGGAAAGCGGAGGCCGGAGCCGTGACCCCTGACCCCGTGGTTATGCGAAGCCGCCGCATTCCTTAGCGATCGCGGGGCTGCTGCTGCTGCCGCCGCCGCCACTGCCGCCTGCGGACGCCGCCACCGTCGCCGTCGCCGTGGGCGACTGACGCAGCGCGGGCGCGTGGATACACCGCCCCTCCCCCACCGCCGCCCTCACGCCGGGTCTCGCGCCGGCCGGTCCCCGCGCGCCCGCCCCCTCTCCAGCCGCACCCGAGTCCTCGCGCGCCGCCGCCACCACGCGCCCCCCGTTGCCGCCACCGCCCCAGCTCCGCGCCGCCGCCGCCACTGCCCGCCCCGCCCGGAGGTCCCGCGTGGAGCCGCCACCGCGGAGGAGGATGAAGGACAAACAGAAGAGGAAGAAGGAACGCACGTGGGCCGAGGCCGCGCGCCTGGTGAGGCTGGCCGTGGAGGGGGCCACCGTGGGGGTGTGGGGGGTGATCCCGCTGCGCATCCGCGCCGGGAGGGGGAGGGGCGAGGCCCGGCCCACAGCAGGAGGGGGCGGGGTCGCCCTTGCTCTGGAAACGGAACCACCCCCCAAGGCGTCGGGTAGGGAGCGGTTCCCTGCCGGGATGGGATGTGGCGCCTTTTTTTGCACGCCCCCCTGAATTCCTGAGGAGGGGCGAGCTGGCAGCCAGCTCCTCCCCCTCCTCCTCGCTGCGGGGCCCCAGCCTCCCCTCCCCCATCTCGGGTAGCGGCGGGGGGTCTGGGGACGCTCCGTTTATTCACCTCGGGGAGTTGGGTTTCCGGAAGGGTCGGGAGCGCGCGCTCAGCTCTCGGCGGCTAACAGGGTGGTGCCCTGGTGGGAGGGCACCCCGAAGGTGGGAGAGGGCCCCCAGTTTCAAGGACGCAAGAGATATTTTGTGCTTTCCCGATTTAAACCAGCAAATGCTTGCTCTCGGCTTGAACCCAGAGTAGTAGTTTTCAAACTTTAGAGCCCTGGGGGCGGACAGCAGGGAGGTGGTTAAAAATGTCCTGGGGCTCTACTTAGCACCTAACTGGAGTCTGAGATTCTGAGATAGAGCCTGAGAAACGGTATCCTAACAAGCTTCCCTGGTGACTCGAATGCAGGTGGCCCAGGGACCACAAGACAAACGCTGTGACTAGAGTGTGCAGCTTCATAAGCTGGACTGGAAGTAGGTGCTTTGCAGAGAACTGAATACGCTTTGCAAAGAATGTTCGTTGGACAAAGTGTCCCCTGTTCGGAGGTACTGTTCACTGAGGGTTTAGCGACAGGGAGAGTAATTTGAGTGCTTGGGCTTCCCGCTGAGGGATGTGAATTTTCTGTTTTCAAAGCATCACAGGACTAATAAATGAAATTAGTTTCCTTTTTGAATTTGCCCCGCAAAGCCAAGACACTCTGAGAAATGTTCTTACAGAATGTTGCTGACAGTGGTAACAGGTATACGTCTGTCAGAGATTGTTTCCTCCTCAGCTGTCATAGAGGGTGATTCTGGTGTAGAGAGCATGCATGTCTGATGACACCCTGTTTTTTAAGTGTAATTGCTATAATTCACTTTTAATGATGAATGAGGCTCACTCTTCTAATTTTCTTACAGGGAAGTGAGTTTTCTGCTTCAAAGTGTTGTGCAAAAAAAGATGAATACATGTGAAGGGTTGATAGAAATCTAGAGTACACCTGTTTTCTTTTTTGGAGCCTGTAAAACTCAGTTACTAATTGACAACAACAGAAATTGTTTGAGCTACAGGAGAATTTTCACTGTTGCTGGTAGTCTTCCCCTGGCATTTAAATTGCACTGGAAACAAATAGTAATTGTGTGGTGAAGTTTTGTGCTTCACTTTTATTTTTTTGATTGGCATATGAAATTTGAAGATTTTCCAAGCCCCCAAATACTTTTTCCTGATTCAGTCAAGATTGGAAGCTTTGACTAGTTTCAGGATTTTGGAAATTTCAGAGTTTCTTCAGTGTTGCTTCACATGAACACAAGCTTAGGTGTGAAGGAAAATGTAGAAGTCACAAGGGCTCACACTTTGTCTTGTCTCTTATATGTTAATCGAAATTCTCTTGAGTTCTTGTGTACATGTATTTATGACTGGGCACCCAAAGGAAATTTGCTTGTCAGAATTGTAGTTTTAAGTAGATGAAAGAAAGCACGTTTAAATCCTGTGTTATGTCCTGACAGGATTCTAAGTTCTGTTTGTCTCATGCTAGTTGGTTCTTGCTAGTTGAAATACTGAGAACTTGGGATTCACTGTTCCTGTAAGCCTTTTTAGGTTCCTGTATCTGCAGTAGTCTGAACTTCAGTGTCTAAGTAGCTATTCCTGTTACTGTCTCATCTTAAGCCAGATTTTCCAAGAGGTATTTCTCCTTTTCTGGTTCATTAGAAACAATATGAATAGTAATTATTTTCTATAGTTATGTATTTGAAAGAAAACTTGTAGAAATGTGATGTGGAAAGTTTCCATTCTTTTAACATTTTTTTTTTTTTTCCTGTGGCCCTGGTGGAAGATGTGGGAATCAAAACCTTTCGCATGCTAGGCAAATACATCTATCTCTAGCCCTAATTTTTTATATTTTTTAGGTTTAAATTTTTTTTTTTTAAATTTAGAATTGACTGACCCTTTGTATGTAACTGATTGATAGGTAAAGGGAACATCTTGAAGAGTCTTTTTAGCTGGGATGTAGTGGAAAACACCTGTAATCTCAGCACTGTGGGAAACGGATGCAGCAGTATCAAGATTCACCTTTGGCCTAGTATACATGGAAAGAGCCTGTTTTAAAGTACCCTCCTCACTCCTAAAAAGCCTCTTCCTTTTTTTTTTTTCTTTTTTAAAAATGCTATCACATTAAGTGCTGTACAATTTGTTTTTTTTTAAAAAAATTTTTTTTGTCTTTTTCCTTTTTATCGGTACCAGGGATCGAACTCACGACTGCCTGCTTGCAAGGCAGGCACTTATGCCGCTGAGCTAAATCCCCAGCCCCCTTGCTGTACAATTTATGAAAGCTTACACTGGACATAAGGAGAGTACACTAAACTAAGAGTAAGCCAAAATGGTAGAGCAGTTAATTAGAAAATTAGGCAGGTGATTTTGGAGTGCTTGTAGTGGCAGTCCTACACAAACTGGGTGGCAGTTTCAGATTGCTCCTGACCTCAGTTAGATTGCTGACTACTTCTTAAGGGGAACTCTTTTTGAAAACTGTCTTGGCAGAGGAAGAGATTTTTGGAGAAGTTCAGTAGAGGAGTATATATATCCCAGGGGATTGGTTTTTTTTTTCAGCTGTTAATGATATTGGTTCTTTAGGAAGAAAGACATTTGATTCTTGCAAATGTCTTATAGTACAGTATTGTCTTTCCTAGACAAAAGCAGTAAGACTTTAGGTAGGTGGAGGAGTATAAGTCCTGTTGATAGGAATAATTTGGAAAGAATAGTGGGGGTGGGGTGGGGGTGGGGCTGGGGATTTAGCTCAGAGGCATAAGCACCTGGGTGCCTTGCAAGCTGGTGGTTGTAAGTTTGATCCCCGGTACTGATTTAAAAAAAAAAAATAGCCAAGGGAGTTTCTCTTTAAATTGAGAGTGCTATCCTTAAATGAATTCTCTGTGGCTTTGAGCAACTTCATTGCATGCTTTATCTTTCATTTTGATTCATGACTGTCCATTATTACATCAAACATCTTTTTCCTTTGAAGTAGAAGAGGTACTTTTTTCTTTTTCTTTTTTAAAATGTATTCTAAAACGGATCAAAATGAAACACTGCTGAATTGTTCTTATACCAAAAGCTGGGAGGCATATACAATTTTAGTAAAAGTGAATAGTTTGTATCTTTTTTTTTGTCTTTTTCCTTTTTATCGGTACCGAGGATTGAACTCACGACGAACTCACGACCGCCTGCTTGCAAGGCAGGTGCTTATGCCGCTGAGCTAAATCCCCAGCCTTAGTTTGTATCTTTTGATGTAACTTCCCTTCTGTTTTCTCCTAGATTCTCAGACTCTTCCAGACTGCTATTTAAGTAATTGGTAGCCAGATTTTTAGACATGCTTCTTAAATTATTCTATGAAAATTTGCTAGCTCAGCTCATACTTAGTGTCAAAGAAATGATATCATGTGGTAGTGAACATGAGTACCTTGTACCAGGGTTTATTGTAGGTGTGCTCAGGTCAGCATTGCCTATTGTAGCACTTACTTTCTTGGAATCGGAAGATAGTTTGCCCTTGTGGATCCTTTGGGCTCCTGGGGATGGGGAAGGATCCAGATACGTGAACCCAATTGCAGGCATAGTAAGTAAGTGTTTTCATAGAATAAATGTATAAATGTTAAACTGATATGCTTGTTTCTGCCCTCTGTCCAGGAATAATTGTTATCCCTTCTTTTACTCTCAAATACCTTGGTTTGGAAGATAATCATACGTACTGTGGGACAGACAGTGGAGCCCTGAAAAGAGACATTTAACTCATTAGCAGAGATCAATCCTTTCTGGAGGAAGATGCTTTTTTTCTTTTTTTCCAGTACTGAGGCTTGAACCCAGGACTTTTGCACTGAGCTATAGCCCTGCCCTTTTTAAAGTTTTGAGACAGGGTCTAAGTGACTGAGTTGCCGTGGCTGGGTTTGAATTGAGAACCTAGCCAGTGGTACATTCCTGTAATCTCAGCACTTGGGAGGCTGAGACAGGAGGATTGTAGCAAGTTTGAGACCAGCCTGGGTTACAAAGTGAGCTCAAGGCCAACTAGACCCTGTCTCACAAAGACCAAAAAAAAAAACAAAAAACCCC